TTTTTTGTATATTTATTTTTTGCACCAGGTCTTCTTTAAAATTTACTAATTCATATATATATATATATATATATATATATATATATATATATATATATATATAATATATATATATATATATATATATATATATATATATATATATATATACAACAATGTATATAAATTTAGTTTAGAGCGGTAATAGATTTACATAGATTGATAGAGTTATAAATGAGTATACGATCATAATGTGATTTAGTTGTAAGTAATCACTCGATTAAACTAGTTCAATGTTATAATATTTATTGTAAACAGATAGTTATTTCCAGTAGTTGTTTACAGAACATGTTTACAGTAACAGGTATAAAAAAATTGATCAAAGAATCATCAACATCAAATAAGTTGACGTCTTTTTTTTTAACGTAAAAACTCAAAAATGTTGCAGAAAGTGTTTAATTGTAATATAACAATTGAAAATTTTCTGCAGCATCTTTGAGTTTTTACATTTAAAAAAGACATCAACCAACATCTATGTTGGTGAATTATAATTGTACTTGTCATATGTCACGTAGATAAATGTGTTGAAAGTCATGCATTAATATATGGTTATTTTTTAACGATTGTTTTAATGACTATTGTTGTTAAAAGTTTTATTATGGGAGTTTTAACTTTGTTCATATATAAAGCTTTATCAGGGCCGACGACACGCGTTTTGAAGTGTGTGTGTGTGTGTGGGGGGGGGGGGGGGGGATAGGGGCACAATCATCAATTTGTGAAAAAAGTCTTCTGAATCAAGATTTTTCTTAAAAAAGAAAAAAAAAAAAGAAAAAAAGAAAAGAAAAAAAAGAATTTCTAGAAAAAGTGTGTGTGTGTGTGTGTTCTTTTTAAACTGAAGGTATCCTTAAAACTATGCTTAATATTACAAAAATGTATTTCCGAGCTCTCTACGAATTTTTAAATTGTCAAGCAGTAAATGCGGACGCTTATCAAATGAAACTGCGTCGTTTGAGAAAAATTACAAATGCAAAATGACTATTCTAGTTTATTCTCTGCTCAATAAATTTTTTGAAAGAAGTTCAACTGGATTAGTCGAAATGGAGTGGTTTTATTTTCGAAGAAAGTAAAGAAAAACTGAAAGAGTTGTTTTACCGTGTGGAAAAAGAAACTTGGTTTTTGGGAAATGACTGATACTAGTAAATGGAAAAGCTGAGCTTTACTGTGACTATTAGATCTGGTCTAATTCTGTATATTTAAGTGGTTATTAAAAATGCATTATGGTTTCTTCTGGCGAGTAATACACGCCATATTGAGGCTGGATTGCTCAGTTGGTTAGAGCGTCGAACAAAATGTTTAAACCCGGACTGTTGTAAGGTACGAGTTCAATCCTGCCACCGCCAAATCAGCGCTTGAATAGTACTTCGGCACGCAAAAGTGTCAATAACGGACGCTACTTTGGATTAGTCTTAATGACCATTCCTATGCTAAGCCATCAATATCTTCAAATATAAGAACATTGTATAGAAAAATATAGCATGAAAGTTCAAAATAAAAAAAAAATAAAAAAAAAAATTTATATAAATGAACTGGATACGATACTTTAAGGAACTAAAACTTAGCTTATGAATGTGATATAAAGAAATACAATTATAGCAAGAGCACCGTAGAATGGCTAAACGCAGTTTTGAAGGTAGAATATTGCGGGAGAATTTCTCAATTGCTAGTACAAAAGCGGTTGAAAACAAGGAGGTTTAGGTTTAATAAAAGGTTTATTAAAGCAACTTGGTTAAAAAGAAGTATAAGTATATAGAGCGGCCGTAGGGCATCGGTAACTTAATGGAATTTTTTTTTAAATTTTTTTTTAGGTGCCCCAAGAAGTCCTTACAGTAGGGCTGCCATAAATTTTGGACGACCGACCGGGACAAAAGCTCCACTGCCCCTTCCACCCCCCCTCCTCCAAAAAAAAAAACGTGTAAAAAAACTTAACAATTATTACAATAGTTGTAAAGTTTTTTTTCGATTTGAACTAGACCGTCTTTAGCTTATCCTAGCCCCATAGCGAAGTAACAGTTGCGGCCTCTACAAACTCTCCGCTCCTCCTCTTCCTAAAATAAATCTGTTTTTCTGATTAATAAAGCATAAACTTGTCTTTGCCTTTAAAACTCAAATAAAAGTCGATTGATTAGATTAACCTTAACAGTCGTCTCCCCCCCCCCCCCCCCCTTAGTGAAGTCTCAATAGACATTAATTCGTCATGTTGGCGTTTGTAAGCTCAGCAGAGCAGTGACGTATCCAGGGCGATGATTTAGATGATTGATGAACCTTGGATCCGTCACAGCAGCAAAGTGTTTGTTAGTGCTCACCAATAGCATAAGTTCTTTTCAAATACGACAAAAAATGATTAAACCATTTCGAATGAAAAAAGAAAAAGAGATATGTAGCTCATTCCACTTTAAAACAATTTTAACTGCTTGAATCACTTACTTTCAATCAATTATCTTGTTGAATCTTTTTGTATTTGTGCTTCGGATAAAAACAGCCGTGCCTAGCTGATCTTTTTTCTGTTTGAAGCTTAAAAGTGAAGTTTGTAGAGTTAAATCGAAAATAAATTGATTCCTTTCCAAATGTCATGACCCCGCAGCGGCTGCCTAGGATGGACATTTGTAAAGACGGGCCTGAATGTACTGTCAGGAATATACTTATTTGATAATACTTTTAATGCCCTTATAATAACAATTATAATAAAAGCAATAATACCGATACTGATATAGCTATACTACCGATGATTATAAAATAATAACGCTAAAAATATTGATAAGTTTTTTTAAATTTTTTGTTTGCTTTAGGGGGGGGGAAGGGGGAATTGTCCCGGTGTTGGTAACATCTTCTAAAGGGTTATGAAAACATATCCAGCATATCCTCCTTTGTCCTCTTTTTGGTAATTTTATGCCCTCTGTTGTGCACACATGTAACTAACCATCCCATATACAGTGTCAAAAATACTATCAATGAGTACCAAGTTTTCTTAAAGTTATTCTTATAGTTTCAGGATTCACTTCTAATCATTTTGTAGCACTCCAGCATGTTTACAAGCACTTGTTTTAGGATTTTGTCTAATTTTTTGAAGATAGCTTGATGATGCAATGATTCAATTTTTCTTAGCTATTCTGTGTAAAGTTTATTAGCTTTTTTATAGTAGATATTTTAGTAGGTATTTCTTAATAATGGACTTCACAGTCACACTTGATTTCTTTTATATTTTGTTATGATTTTCCTTTCTTCAATAGCCTAACAATAACAATAACAATAAATGAATTTCCACTGTAACTCTCATTTTTAAATCATTAGTCTAACAAAAATAAAAAACAAAAGTAATGCATAAATCTAACTAAATCTAATTTATGTAGAAAAACGTTGCTAAATAAGTGATTTATTGAAATATGTAAAAAAATTTATTAACACATGACTTATTAACATATGTGAAAGTGCATGGTGGATAAAAACTTTTTTGGCACAAAAACATGCATTTTTTATTTCAAAATTCTTTATTTTATTTGTTATTCATTATTTAAAAAAATCTTTTTGTAAAATATTTCTTGAATGTTTAATTGATAAAATTCAGCTTAAATTAAATTATGCTTAAATATTTTAAATATCACATTTAAAAAATGTACAAAATAGGCTAAAAAAATTTTGACACATTTTACATAAAATAATGACTTAAAATTTAAAGTTTCTTGAAAAAAATTCTCCTTATTTTAAACTAAAAGTTTATTCTTGTTAAAGTTGTATCTTGGCAAAGTGGGGTATGGTAAATCAACATAGTGATAAATTTTAAACTACGAAGTATATTTTTAATTTGAATAAGTTTTAATCTAGTTAAAGATTTTAACGTGTTAATGATGTAATCCATTTTTTTTTTTAAATAAAGTTAGTGTAAGATCAAGATTAACTTTGATGATGAAAAAAATACACAAGCAAACCTTATAGACTCAATTATGGTTTTATATAAACTAATTTAGCTGTTTAGAATGTTTAAACAGACTAATGGACTCTATTTTTTGGCAATATTATAATTTGTTGGCAAATATTATAAAAAAAGGATAAAACTTTGACATGAACTTCTTAGATTAAGTAAATAGTACGAGTTCTTCTTAATGGATCTAAATTTATAATAATATTTTTAATGAAATTTATATTTTTCTAATAAGTTAAATTTTGTATATCGTTTCCACATAACACCATTATAAAAAATACTTTGTTTGAATTTGTTTTTAAAGAATATTGACCAGCAACTACTGAGGTTTTTTGCACACCTAGGTATAGTTATATTTTGCTAGTAAAAAAAAAAAAAATTTGGTTTTACACCTTTAGTAATTCCTATAAACTAATTGAAGACTTTTTCTGATGCTTAATTGATACTTGGATCAAAGCATATTGTGTAAAAAATCCTGTTAGACCTTTGAAAAAGAATAGATATTTAGCTTCAAATGGAGCTTTCAAAAAGACATTTTCAAATTGCACAAGGCAAATTGCACAATATCACAAAAAATTGCACAAAGTCATTTAAGTCTTAAGATTTCAATTGTATAATGATAATTGTATAAGTGTATATGATTAATATATTTAATGAATAATTAACAGCTATAATTAACTTTCTTGATTGTTCATGATTACACATAATTAACTTTCTTGATTGTTCATGATTATTGTATTTAATTGCTTACAAGAAATGCTTCTTCATGACATCTGTAACTAATTGCATTTTTCAAGGCTTATGGAAAAACCTTTCAGCAGCTTACATTCTGTGTTGCACAGTACTTGAGCAGGCATAATTATTATGTTTTGCTAAATCATTTATCAATAGGCCATCTAACCTCTTTTAATTTTTGATACTCTTTTGCATGAGATTTATCAGAATATTAGAGCCAAGTTAAATTTCGGACATTTGTTAGTAATTAATAAAAAAAAGCTGCAAAGGGAAAGCAAATTTCAAACATAGAAATAAATTTTTTTTTTAGGTTGGACACACTGAAGATGTCAATGTAGGAGATGGAAAAGTTGTAAAAGTTATAACTAGAGCTTTACGCCCTCTACTTTTTGGTAACAATTTTTATAAATTTATTTAAAGCAAGAGAGTTTGCTAAGTTCTGAAAGTAATTCATTTTTGTTACTAGTAAAGATTAATAAATATATTTTTCCTACTGCATATTATTTCTGTACTTTTTTTCCTACTGTATCTTATTTCTGTATTTTTCTTTTTTCTATTGTAACTTATTTCTGTAATTGCTTTTTTTTCTTCTGTAAGTTATTTTTGCCGGTTTTTTTTTTTTTTCTGATGACTTATAATAATAGTTTTAATACAAATTCTTTATAATAATTGAAAAAATTAATTAACATATTTGTAATAGACATTTTTAAAAAAATTTTCATTATCTTGTCTGGATTTTCAATATTTGTTATTTTTTAGTTTTAATAATATAAAAAACAAAATATTAAATTAAAATAATGTAAAAAAAAAAGTTGACTAAAAAATGGGTATGAATTACTGTTTATAACTTCTAATATTAAATTTTGATTCAACATTTAAAGACTACTAGAGATTTCTTTTAGTCTTTTTTATGTATTAAACTTAGATCAGGTTTAAGTGGTAATCTTTCTCATAGTAGTTTTTTAAGCAACAATATAATGAGTATAAAACATAAAGGAGTAAAACATTAAAACATTAAAACATAAATATTAGTAGTACAAGATTGATTGCAATGGGATTGTAAAGTTTTTTTCACAGTAAAAAAAGTATATATATATATATATATATATATATAAACTTGAGAAAAAAAGGACAACAAAAATTAAAAAAACAAAAAACTAAGTGAGATAAAGCAAAAGAGCAAACAGAAACAAAAAATTAGAATAGTAAAGAAAAGAAAAATGAACAGTATTTACAGTATTATTATTTCATTAATAAAGTATATTTAAGTTTTATTAAAATATGCCATGAATTATCATACTTAATGTTTGCTAAAAAGTGTTATAGAACAAGGAAATGATTGACAGAAGACTTAAAAAGTTATAGGATGTATGAGTCAAGAAAACATGAAAACGGGAGAGAGTTTTTGTTTTATCATCGCGTCCATTTAATTTAATAACGTTTATAATCTATAGCTTTATATATTCTTTCTAACATCCTATACAAAAATCTTTTCTCTATATGTATTAAATTAAAAAGTCCCATGAGAATATACTGTTAATTACAGTTGAAATAACTTACGTAGATGCGTGACTTTCAACACGCATCTACGTGATTTCTAACACGTACAATTCACCAACATAATAATAGAACATGCCCTCTTGGTGAATTAACTCATAAGTCTAATCTTTGTTGGGGCTTTACTGTTCGTCCGGAGCGTGTTACTTGCAGCACGTTGAGTTCTTGAGAATCATTTTAAACTTGAGCGACATCATCATTATAACTTCCTTTAACGTTATCAGTTTTATCGTTTAGTCTATAAAAAACATCGTTGACTGATTCATTTGAACTCTGTACGTCTGTACGGCGACGCAGGTGTGAAATGTGACGCGGATATACCCGATTCGCAGTTTCCACGTCAAATGACAAAGTACTTTGCTTTCGTACTACGCCTGGTATCCACGGCTGGTCACATTTTGTTTCTTGAGTTGGTTTTACCCAAACATTGTCACCCACTTTGAATTTCTTGCTTACGCCTTTCTCATCTACCTTCCTCCGAGTATCGACGCCTGGGATGAAACATGTTGATCTTTTCTTGAATTGCTTGGATGGACTTTCAGTACAATTGGATGATATTGTCTTGTTGTACAGCAAGACTGCCAGAGCGATTGAACAATGTGAGCGAGCGACCGTTCTTTTTATCGTTCTGTGTATACGATCAACTATACCATTACCTTGAGCTCGATGTGCTGCTCGATATTCCAAATTAACATGCCATTCTTCAGCAAAACTTGTTAACGTGTTGGACCGAAATTCGTTGTCCATTAGAAGACATACTGGCGGACCAAATAAAGAGAATATTTCTTCGAGTCTACCAACAACTTCAGCAGCTGCTTTAGTTACAAGTTTACGCCATATTGTATACCGTGATGGACCACAGTCAATCATTGATAAGTACATGCGTCACGTCAATGGCAACCCGATTCCAATTTTTTTCTATGCTTAGTTGGCCATTCTTCCACTTTACGGAGTAAGGATCAATGGAGTTACACTGGTTACAATTTGCAATTACTGCTGAAACCTCCTTACATGATACATTCTGATTATTTCGCAAGCAAAGTTGTAATGTTCGAGCAACACCAAAATAACCAATTGAATGAACTTTCCATATGTCTTTTTGTTCAAGTAATCCAGCTGCACACACTGTTCTGCACTATTTTTGAGGGATTCGTGAGAGTCGATCAGCCAAATTCATCTCAGATGGAATCCATTGTACTGCGATCTGAATATCTTTTGCCACTTCCTTAATAGTATTCAATCGTCTTTGTACTAACAATTGAGAAATTCCCTGAGTTTTTACGCGATATTCTTCCTTCAAAACTGCGTTTAACCATCATACGGTGCTCTTGCTATCACTGTATACTGTTAACTCTTTTATGCCCCATTTACTAGCTAAGTTTAGTCTTCAAAGTTTAGAATCCAGTTCACTTATGTTGATATGGTGTGTGTCACTCGCCGGCCGTAGCCATGCTGCGTCTTCAACAACTACTCCACCAATGAGCAGAACTACCCCAAGTCCTATAGATGATGCATCACAATAAAGCTCAGCTTTTCCATTAACTGGTACCAGCCATTTTCCACCAACCGGATCCTCTTTTTCCACACGGTAAAGCAACTCTTTCAGTTTTTCTTTACAACCTTCAGAAATAAAATCACACCAAAGTATATTTCCAGCTAAACGTTTGATGTATGAAGCTTGTAAACGCAAACTTCATGCCACTGTGTAATGTCCAATAAGTTTGCCTAACTGGCTGAAAAGCTGTGATCGTGTGACTGCATTTAAAGATTCGAATTGTACCACATTGTCTCGTTTCCATATCAGTTCCCCATTTTTATTTCTTTCGACTCTCAATCCTAAGACACGTCCTTGTTCAAGATCTTGATGAGGTTTACATTGTAATCCGAATTTAAGCAGATGCTTCGCTACATTTTTCGCAGTTTCCACACTTTCATCCACAAATATATCATCAATGTAGTTATCACATGTTTTCTTTACAGTTGGATTTAAATTGAGCACATGCCAAAGAATTGTGGTCATTATTGTTGGAGCCACATTGATGCCAAAACACATCCTGGTAAAACAATACCATTGCCCATTTATAATCACCGTTTGATATGGCCAAAGTTTTTTATCAATATGAATTTGGAGGTAGGCTTTTTTAAGATCGAGAATTTTTGCATTTTTTATTTTTCTCCAGCAACGCAGTTTTTCTTGACAAACGTCCGCATTTGCCGTATGACAATTTACAAATTCGTTGAGAGCTCGGAAATCTCCCACTGGACGTACCTTTTTGTCCTTGTTTTCTTGCACTATGCACATAAGCGGTATCAATACTTTTGGTGGTCCCAATATTAGTTCGTTATATGGTACAAGAATACCAGAGTCAATCCATTCACGTATTTCTTTACGGTAACTACGTTCGTGCTCTTGGTTCATCTTGTATTCACAAATGGTATTATCTATTATCAAATGGTATTATTATATTACAGGCTCTTTATTCCAGTTCCCTGATGGCGTCCATTTTTTTTCCGTCGAACTTTGCTGTGAAGTCCTGATGTTTTATTTCGTTTCTTTCGTTCTCTTCATTTCTTGTTGTATTTTTGACATCAAATTTTATTTTTTGTACTTCGTTTTCGCTTTTTTTTGTCGTATTACTAACATCAATTTTTAATTCGTTTATTTCGTTTTCGTTTTTTCTCGTCGTAGTAACGGCACCACATTTCGCTTTGTCACATGCTAACATTCGGACGTTACAGTTTTTATTACCATAAATGATAACTCCTCCAAATTTTTTAATTGCATTCATTCCAAAAATCAAATCAAACCCAAATGGTTTTTCTTTTACAACCAGAGAATTAACCATCCGGTGTATTCCATCAATTTCCACAATTACCATTTCACCCAGCACTTGCACAGTTCCTCCCAAAGTTGTGATAAGTTTTTGACTTTTTAACACAAGCTTATGCGCGGACTCAGCATGAACCACAGTAATGGAGCATCCAGAATCAATTAATGCTGTTCAGAGCCTTCCATTTATTTTCACTTTTAATGATGGCAACGTCATTTCTGGGAGAATACTGGATGCCATTATTTCCAGATTCTCCTTTTTCCTTTTAAACCTTGCAATCGTTTTAAGCAGTTTTTAGCTTGATGATCGTGTGAACAAGTCTTGCATTTTTCTTCGCAGTCCTTTGCAAAATGTTCAAGTTTTCCACAATTGAAACATTTAACTTTGTTTATGTCGGACGCACCAGACGTCCGTGAAAGTAACAATGTTGCGCCAATCATTACATTCTCGGAACCATCTAATTGTTGAGCTTCCTGGGTTACTCGTTCAAGGGTAACAGCTATTTCCACAGCCTTTTCAAAAGTTAGTTCTTCAGATTCCAGTAGTAACCGTTTGATTGTAACACCATCGTTAAAACCCGTGATGAATTGGTCGCGCATTCGATCATCTCTATCCGTGAATTTGCATCCTTCAGCAGCTCTTGTAATCCGTCGTGAAAATTCCGTCACATTTTCGTTACTTGCTTTTTTTATAGTTGCAAATTCAAAGCGTAGTATTAACGATGACTTCGGTTTAAAAAGCTTCATGATATTTTCCTCGATGTCTTCGTAGGTAACTGAGTCATCTTCAGGGTATGCAGGCAAGCATAGATCTTCTAGTGCGGAATAAATCTTTGGTGGCAAACATGTTAATATTATTGTTTTTCTTTTGGATTTGGGTACGTCCATCGCAGTTATGTATGTTCGTAGTTGGCGGACGAACCGCTGATGGTTGCCATTGAAAACCGGTGGCATAATGGCCGAAATAGTTTGTTTTATCATCGCGTCCATTTAATTTAATAACGTTTATAATCTATAGCTTTATATATTCTTTCTAACATCCTATACAAAAATCTTTTCTCTATATATATTAAATTAAAAAGTCCCATGAGAATATACTGTTAATTACAGTTGAAATAACTTACGTAGATGCGTGACTTTCAACACGCATCTACGTGATTTCTAACACGTACAATTCACCAACATAATAATAGAACAGTTTTAAAGCATTGAAGTGAGAGAAAAAAATCTAGATGAATAAAAGTTTTTAGAGCATGCAAAGACAGATACAGTATAAGGATGGGAATTTGCAAGTTGACCATAGAACAAGAAGATCAATATCAGTACTGATTGTCAGCGAGTTATTTATTAGACTCAAGTTGAGAAGATAGAAATTTATCAATTAAAGACTCAAAGACCTTGCTTATAATAGAGAAAACTGATTGGATGGATCTTCTCTTTTATAAGCAAGGTCTGTATTAAAATAATATTAATTTCTATCAATAGAAAAGTTATAAAAGATATAGCAGATATACTAATAAACAATTAATACATTTATAACACAAAATGTCATTCATCTTTTTTTTAAATAGTAACAAACAAGTCTCTAAAGCATAAAATATAAGTAATGTAAATTGTAATTTAAAATTGAGTTTTAAATAAAATAGGCTAATGGCCATTTTAAATCAATATATAGCTCTCAAATGTGTTGCTTTGTATAGGGTTTAGATCAGGGTTGGAAAAAACCCTGGGTTTTTTTAAAAAAAACCAACCCAAACGGTTTTTTTTGGGTTTTTTGGGGTTTTTTGGTTTTTTTGGGTTTTTTCAAAACTGACCGTTATTAGGAAAAAAAAAATACTTTTCCTAAATATTTAAAAACCATTTTTGTTTTTAAATTTTTTTATTAAAAATACAATGTGCTATAAACCAGGATGGAAATTCAATTTCTAAATTTATAGTTCATTTACCCTAAATGTTTTTACTTTTATTGTTGAAATACCTAGTCACGAACCACTTTTGGAGCTTTTGGACACTTACGTCTAGAAAAATGTAGTTATGTTATGACTTTTAAAACTGCAAAGTTTTTTGGAATTTCCTGATTTAAACTAGTTAACATTATTTATTTATATTTTAATCATAATATATTCTTAGAAAAAAATTTTTTTTTAATAAGAATATATATTATGGCTTCTGGATCTGGAAGGAAACTTGCATGTGAATGGAATGATGTGACTAAATTATCAAAAACTTTTTCCAGAAAAGTAATACTGCAGTGCCTGTGCAATTATTGTAATGAAATTATAAATAGCCAAAAAGTAGAAAGAATTAGAATTCATTTAAATAAATGTAAAAAAAAAGCAACCATCTGCTGATGTTGCAGAACAAAATAAGAATTTTATTTTAAATAATGGCCAAGTATCATTTCAGGCATCTGTAAACTTGTTGTGTGATTTTGTTAGCCCAGTTGCTTCAGAGTCTTTTGAAGCATCAAGCACTTCTGGTGTCTTTGAGAGTAGTTACTCTGGTTCAACACCAACCCCATATAAAAAACAAAAGTTAATAGAAAATTACATATCAAGAACAAGCTCAAATCAAAACGATGTTTTTGGCTTGCAAGTTGCCAAATTTTTTTTGCTTGCAATATTCCATTTAATGCAGTACAAAATAGAGAATTTAAAAAATGTATTAATTTTTTGAGACCTGGTTATGATACTCCAAACCGGAAGAAACTTTCAGGAGAGTTACTGGATAAAGTGAACTATGAAGTAATTGTATCTATGAAAAGTGAATATGCAAATAATAGGAGTACTATTACATTGATACAAGATGGTTGAAGCAGTGTCAGAAATGATCCAATTATTGCTCACAGTGTACATAACGGAAAGACCCCATATTTAATCTCCGCTATAGATGCAGAAAGTGAAAAAAAACTTCAGAATATTGTGCTCAATTAGCCATTGAAGCAATAAAACACATCAAGAAGGTTTATGAACAAGATGTAAGTATAATAATACTGTATCATAGTATTTACTTTAATTAAAGTTAACTAAAAATATAAGAATATTTTTCTACTTCTAACAGGTATTTGCCATTTGTACAGATAATGAGAACAAAATGAAAAAGATGAAAGAAATTTTCAAAGAAGAATATCCATTGCTACTTACATATGGATGCTCAGCTCATTACTTAAATTTAGTTGAGAAGCAGGTGACACCAAGTTTTCTGGCACATTTAATTGAAGTTAACAAATACTTCCGAAATCATCACCAACCACGTGTGAGTAAATATTGTAATCATCACCAACCACGTGTGAGTAAATATTGTTTATAATATATTATTTTAATTTTACAGTTTCAATTTTTTTTTACTCATTTACTCAGTGAATTTTATTATTATATCAACTAATTGAATTAGTTCTTAATTTCAGAGATGGCTTTTGGATGATAGGAATGGAGTTATGCCGCAACTTCCTAATGATACACAATGGAACTCTTAAGTAGACTGTTTAAAGACTTATATTAAAAATTATAGCCACTATCTTGATATTATAGAGAAGCATGAAGGTTATATTAAACATAATATCAAGAAAATTATAGATAATGCAGCAATTTTTAGGGATACTAAAAATCTTTAAATTCAACTGGAGAAATGTGAGATTTAGATAAGATAGATATGTAAATCAAAATTGTTAGTCATTAAAATAATGTAAACTGCGCTTCAATATACTGTTAAAATATTTGTATAGGTATTTTAAAAAAATTATATTTATAGCTACAAAGTGATTCAACATCATTGTCTGATGCATGTGAAATTTGGTTGTCTCTCCTGAAGGATAAAGACCGGAAGCCATATTATATTGAAATTAAGTTAAAATTTGATGAAGCAATGGAACCTTTTCATTTTTTAACCCAAAATTGAAAGAACTAACCCAAAATTTGAAAGAACATACTTAAAACTACATTTTTTTAACTTACATAACACATTAGTCGATTCTAGACTACAGACACAATATATGACTAATAAATAAGATCCATATAGGATATTTATTTCTCATTTATAAAATATAAAACAAAAATAATATTCTTTAATTTTAGGAAAATCTTTAAGCATTGAACAAGAAGCTGCTGCAGAAGCTTGGCTAAGCGATAGGCACAATGAATATTTGGCTGGTTACTATGATTTCAGGCTAAAAGTCACAACTACCTTTCCACAGCATATGTTTAATGATAACTTTATTTCTACAATTTCAAGTGAAAGATGGTGGGGCTCCATAGAAGGAGTGTTTTCTACTTTTGGTATTGTGTGGAGCAAGTTAAGAAATAGGTTAGGAAACGATAGAGCTGAATAGCTTGTTTTGAGATTTGAGAGGCAAAGAATTTGATTGGTAAACAACAATGGCCAGTCTTTTGTAAAGCTTTTGAAATTTAAAGAAATATAGTTTGTAATCTTTATTGATTTTTCTTTTTCTTTAAACTAATTTTCACCAATTGTTTTTTCTGTATTACCCCAACCAGCTATACAAATGATTAATCATATTTTGGATTATTCTGTAAGGAGTTTGAACTAAAAAATATAATAAACATATATATTTTTCATAATAAAGGAATAATAAATCTTGTATTATTCACAATATATGGTTTAAAAAAGCTAAAGACAGATTTATCTGTTGTAAAAAAAGACATTTTTAAAAAAACCCAAATATCTTTGGGTTTTTTTGGGTTTTTTTGAGGTGGATTTTTTTGGGTTGGGTTTTTTTGCCAACCCTGGTTTAGATAATAGTAACTAGGAGTTATTTTTGACTTTTTTTACTATTTCTGCATACTAATTTTACATTTTCTAAAAAGTAAGGGAGGTTCTTTGAAGAAAAAATGAACTTGAGTTTATTGTTGTACAATAAGTAATTTTTTTTCACTAGACCAATGTTTTAGCTATTTTGACTTTGCCCATATACACCTACATCTCTTAGTGACAATCAATTAGCAACTTTAAATAAGATAAACAAGTAATTTTTAGTAAAATAAGCAAATAATTTAAGTTGTATTAGCTATATATTAGCTATAACTTTATTGTCAATGAGGCTGATGCCATTTGTATAAAATATGAAAACATCTGATATAATAAAAAAAGCTAAAAAAAAACAAAAACTAGACAAGATGTACTTTTAATAGTCAACAGTCAATGTCATGCAAATGTCACAGAAAATATCTTGTCTTTGTCTAATTATCTTGTTGTTGTTTAATGGGTTCATGGGATCTGAGATATCTGAAATAAATTTTTGGAGCTTTTTGTTAAACTTTGTTGCTAATAATGAGCGTTGTGCAAAGTTAAAAACGTTTTGCTTTAAATCTGAGTTTTTATTTATTGCCACATCTATTGATCTATTTCTTTTAATATGTTGTTCTTTTTATGTTTAGAGATTCCAGATATACTCACACATGAAGAGTGTGATCACATTATTAAAAGGGCAATAGATCCAAAGGAAGGGGGTATGTTTAGCAGTAAAGCAAAAGGTGGTTTGACTCCTAATGAAGTGCAATATAATTATACTGGTGGTAAAAAAATTTACTTATTTTTATACAAACTTTTAATTAAAAAAATATGTATATTAAATTTTTATTTTAATTTACACTCATTTTTAATTAATTTAAGTTAAAGTTTAACTAGAAAGGCATTCAACTTAATGGAGTTGTTGCACATTATGTGGAATGGAGTTGTATGGAAATGGAGTTGAAAGTTACTGGAAGAGAAAAGATAAAGTTTGTAAAACAAGATAAAAATCAACAGAGATGTATATATCAGCTGTATAAATCAGGAAAACAAGATAAGGGAGAAAAAACTAGACAAATAAGAACTTTTGAAGCACTTAGGAACAGACACAGTAAAGGGATGAGACTTAATTAAATGATGGGTAAGATGAGAATGAATTTTAATAGATTGCACAAAAGACGCTAGCTCTTTAGAGCAGCGCCCATTAGAGTATTTATAGAAAAGAGAAAGCAAAGCAACATTATGACAATGTGACAACGGTTAAAGGTTGACTGCAAGAGCAGGCCTAACGATGTTTACAATGCATTTTTGTACATTATCTAAAAAAGAAAAGGGCATCATTCAAAGATCCGTTCCAGGTATGGCAATAGTATTCCATACAAAGGCAGATTAGAGATTTATAGAGATAAAGAATAGAATTTGGGATAAGAAAGTTGAGATAATTAGATGCAACCATAGCAGATGATAATTTTGCCATGGATTTAATATATATGTTTTTTAAGAAAGAAGTTTGGAAGTTAGAGTTCATCCTGGAAGACAAAATGTAGATGACTCATCAAGTACATTATTGTTTATAAATGTATAGGAAGATCTAGATTGTTGCAATAACGATTTGCTAAAAAAAATTGAGTTTTATCTGAGTTAAAGTTCACCAGTCACAAAGAGCTCCATGCTTTAGCAGAAATGAGATTCTTTTCAAGCTCAAATGTCCTCTCCAAGCAATCAGAGAATGTTGGTTTCTTACCAAGACAAGAATAATTGATAGTATCATCAGCAAATAATGCTACCTTAAATGTAAGAATTTCTGGTAGATCATTAATGTAAATTAAAAAAATATTGGGTCAAAGAAAAAACCTTGAGGAACCCCTAAAGTTACAAGAAATGAAGAAGAGTGCTGTCATAGAATCATAGAATAATTTATACTTTATTCTATGATCCATAAGAAAGTATTCAACAATCTTAAAGATGTTACTTGTTCCACCATAAGAAGAGAGTTTATGGAGAAGACCAACATGCTAAACTTTATCAATGGCTTCAGAAATGTTGAGAGCAATAGTCCTAACTTCTCTACATCAATCTAATGCACAATAAAACCTAACGCTTATTATCATTAACAAATAAGCAGTAAAATGAGAAGATCAAAATCGATATTGATGATCAGAAAGTTAATTATTAGATTCAAGATAAAAGATGTTTTTTAATTAAAGACTCAAAAACCTGGCTTATGATTGTTAGAAGACTAATGGGACGGTAGTTAAACAATTTTTGAAAATAAGGATAACTTCTGCAAGGCTATAACAGGTATGTTGTCCAGACCACCAACTGTAATAGAGTTGAAGCAGTTTATCCTTTAGATACAGAAGCTAGAGTGATACAAATGTCAAGCAATGATCAACCTGTTTGTTGGCTATATTAGGTAGGATGTGACTAGTGGAATCAAAAGATAACAATTTAGCATTGTCTTTAGGTGAGGTAACAAAATTTGACCATGCAAGAGAAATGAAATAACAGATTTGTCCTTGAATAGACATTGTTAAAGATTCTTCAGAAGTCTCAGGAGCCTAATTTTTGAGATGAAATATGAGACTTTGTGACTGGAGAATAGCGGGTTTCGGCGTTAAACAAAACCTTTTTGCATTGTTTCTACCAGTAGTGAACAGACATGTGTTTTCTGGATAATTGTCTTGGTGATAGACAAGGTTGTTATCTGTCAAATATGTCTGAGACATATTTTCTGCCAACATAAAATATGTCCCACATATTTTCTATTAACGTATTTTGACATAATTTCATGTCTTAGTTATTTTCTACTGACATATAATAAGTCTGACATATTTTCTATCGACATATTTTGACATAATTTTATGATTAGATTATTTTCTGCTGACATAAAATATCTCTGACATATTTTCTATTGGCTTTTTTTGACATAATTATATGTCTGAATTATTTTCTGCTGACACAAAATCATGTCAAAATATGTCTGACATATTTTGACGTAATTTTATTTCGGACATTTTTTATATTTTATATTCTTGAAATAAAAATCTAAGTAATAATTTAGTAACGCATTTCAGAATATTTTGATGAATAAAATGAAAATATGTTAACAAATAAGTTTCCCTTGTTCTTTAAGAATATACAACAGCAAATAAATCAGACATAAATTTATGTCAAAATATGTTTACAGAAAACACGTCTGAAATATTTCATGTCAACAGAAAACAATTCAGACATAAAATTATCTAAATATATTAATAGAAAATATCTGGGACATATTTTATGTCAGCAAAATATATGTCTGAAAAATATGTCGACAGATCTGCCCGACATATTATGTTGTAACAACCTTGGTGATAGATATGGAAGTAATGGTTCCAATTGGAAATCGCTGCAGGTCAATAAGAGGAAAACCATTGAAAAGAATGAGGTTTGATTTGGATTTGTTGAGAGGGAATAAAAGATTCCATGCCAGCCTGTATCCAAGAAGTTACATAAAAAGCTTATTTGTCAGCAGGAAAAGGAAAATTTTCCTGTTTCTTTTATTCTAAAATCTTCTACTCACTATTCTAAAATCTTCTACTCACAAGTAGTGAATAAAACTGACTATTAATTTAAATTAAACTATTGATTTTAATATTATAGAATTAACTAGAAATAAGGTAAACTGTTTCTTTTTTTGTAAACCTATGGAATTTCAGGGTTTAGAAAATATAGTATGATAAAATATTTTTTTACTTTATTTTTTTTATATATTTTATATTTAAAAAATAGAATTTATATATACAAAATTAAATTTTCTGATTTTTAAGCAGAATTTGGCAAAGCTTCTGGATGGTTTGGGGAATTTTCAGCTTGGGATATAAATGATGATAAAAATATAGACATTGATGAAGTATGTTACAATTTGCTATTTATCTTTTCCATCAAATATAAGTGATATACTTAATGTTATGCGTTTTAAATATTAGACTAAAACTTATGTTATGTGCTTTAATTATTAAAAATCACTGATAGAATGAGAACATATATCATATACATTTATGAAATTTAATTTATTTGTATAATAAATTGAGTTTAAATAAATTTTCTATTGTTTGTAAAACTTTATCAGTTATCAATTACATATTCTTAAAAAAATATTTTTGTACTTAACTGCATTAATCAGTGGCAGATATAACATTTTTTGGTGGATCCATGTGCTACATGTGTAGCTATGAATACAACATAATAATACTGCTGGCTACAAAGCTGCAATACGTAGTCATTGCTTAGCTACGAATTTGTTGTTATATTCTATCTAACTACAATGCTATAATTCCATTTCAAATAATAATTCCATGTCAAATGAACCAGAAATTTTTAAAAATGTCATTCTATATCTCTGTTTTTGCTGATTTTTATACAGTTGAGAGTACTTAGTAATATAAGAATTTCTTATTTTACTAAGAAGCCTCTGGCTCCAAGAAGATCCTGAAATATGACCATTTTACTTTTAACTAATGTTGGCCAGGCCCCTCTTGTGCCCTCAGAATGGCAACATTTATTTTGAACTTTCAGATTACATAACTTTTAAAATGTTAAATCTTTTTACTTAGAAATTCAGGGGTGACGAATCCAATGAAATGCTCAGAAATGGGAAAAAATTATTAAGTACCTGTAATTATCAATGTTTTTAATGCTCAAGAAACTCATGCGGCCTTGATTATATCAAAAAATAAAATAAAAAAATTACACATTCTATATTCATTGATCTTTCAAAAAATATAAACATTTTGATTTGCAAGTATATGGATTACTACCTCCCAGACTAGATAGAGCTCTGAAACTTTTGGCATTTCTGTAATGACAATGAATGTACATGTTTAAGTTAATTTCAGGGCCCAAGACACCAAGTGGAGGCTGGGTCATGAGCCCCAATTTTTTGTATTGGAATCTTGTGATAGATTTTTCTTTACTTTTCAGACAAAATGGAGCTCTGAAACTTTCAGCATTTGTATAGTCCTGATTATCATGTGTTAAAATTATTTCCAGGGCAGATAACAAGAGGGTCGGGGCACTGAGGGCCATATCCAACTTTTCTTGAAAATTTTTTTTTTTTTGCATTTTCAATAAAGTAAAGATATCTTTGAAAATATTATTTTCAAAAAATTTTTTTGCTTTGTATTTGTTCCATTTGGTTCTTGATTGTTCTTTCAAATTCGTATTCAATGATCTTTCTCAAAAAGTTTTAAGAAAGTACATATGTTTATAAGATTTTTGATTTGCAAGTTTATGGATTAAAAACATCCGTCTAAAATAATGATTTTAACAGAATTTACACTGTATAATTTAAAACATTTTGTATTGAAAAGAAAACAGACAGAACCACATGTCAGATCTGTCAGACATTAACAATTGAAGAACTCAACTTGATGTTATCAGAAGCAATAAACAAATTAATAGCTCATTCATACATTGCAAAATGTCAAGCAAGATATCAAAGGCAACAAAAGGAAATGTTAGCAAAAGACTGCTGTATTGTCTTAGGTAGTTTTGCAGAAAACTATACGTATGTGATTCAAGATGAAATCCAAAGTTACCATTGGTGCCAAAGTCAATACACGCTACACCCCGCTACCCTCTATTTATTAAACGAAAATGAACAGCTTAGAGAAAAATTTTAAACTAATAATTACAAGTAGTTAATAACAATTTTCTCCACGTCACACCCAAAAATAGCCAGTTACAAATTTTCAAGTAAAAAAAAACAAATATTTTTTAAGTTATGTGACTTGAAACCTCCAATTAAACAATTCTAGCAATTCTAAGGGGATAAAAGTAAAATGATCATCTGCTAAAAGTAAAATGATCATATTTTATGATCTTCTTTAGATTTTCATTTTACCAAGCACTTTCAACAGTATAGATCTCAGCAAAATCTGAGATGTATGATGACATGACCTGGTGGGTCATTTGACATGGAATTACCCTACACATATTACAATTACACCTACAGCTACACATGTAGAATTCTTTGGAATGAACTCTACATGTGTTTGTGTGTGTATATGTCTGTGCAGGGATGGATCTAGCATTTTTTAGTTAAGATATAGAACAAACTCCAAATATTTATATATCAAATATGCTTTGCAAAAGGTTGCAATCATTGGAGCCTGGGAACAAAAAAGCTCTGAAAATCTTGTCTCCTACTTCAAACATAATAATAACAAGATTATAAAATATTGTTTTACTTCTCTCAACCAAAATTATTTTTAAAAGCTTTTTTGTTCCTAAGCTCCAGTCATTGTAATCTTTTGCAAAACACCTTAATTTAAATAAACATAAAAATGTTTGAAGTTTTCCCTGTCTGTTAGTTAGCTATTTCAAACACCTAAAAATGCTGCATTCACCATTTGTTGTTTTGCACCCTAGAAAGTTATAACAAAAAAGACTAGGCTTTGTTTAATTGTTTAAATTGTCTATAAACTGATACAAAAAATTAGCAATAAAATTAGCAATAAATAGACTATTTTATATTCTTTAAGATGCTTTATTTATGTTTAATTGATAAATTCATATTAATCTTTCAGTTATTACCGTTAAAAAACCAGCAGTAGAACAAATGTATACGGTTTATGGTAAAAAAAAAACTCTTAACAGCTCTTTATGTTTAATTTTGACAAAATTAAGAGCACTTATTGTAAAAACCATTAAAATAGTTGTGGAAACTAATTGGGTTTTTATCCTTAAAAAACCACAAAAGCATGGAATAACAGATTAATTTTTTTTTTGTTTTTTTAATTCAGAAAGTTTTTTTCCTTTTTTTTACTGTTTTTATTATTTAGTTTAATCAGTTTTATTTAATTGTTTATATATTAATTTTATATATTTGTTTAGGGATTAATGCAGCGAGGTGTAAATACATTAACATACATTAACTGATTTGAATACGTACATACATTAACTGACTTGAATAAATACATACATTAACTGACTTGAATAAATGCATACATAATTGACTTGAATAAATACATACATAACTGACTTGAATAATTACATTGATACATATATAAACTAACTTAAATAGGTTGAATATGCAAGGAATGACTCTACATTAATATATATACAAATATATATATTTATATATATTAATGTAATATTAATTATAAAAAAGTACAACAAAGGTTGAAAAAAAAAATGTTTGGTGCTGGTTGAACATTTTGGACATGGTTTGAAATGCCAGCAAAGTTTCAAAGAAATACCAGCAAAGTTTGGGGAAAAGATAAATTTAAAGGCTGTGGTGTGCAAAGGTTTGGTAGTTCAAATTAAAAACTATAAACGTAAATCTAATATTTTGAAAGATGTTCAAGATAATGGAAACATTAATTTTTGTTAAGAAATTGAAGAAAATATCAGACGACTGAGGAAGCACATCTTTTTAAAATCTTTTTTTGAGAAAACTGAATCTAGTCAATCTACTGTGGATAGCAAGATGGTGTAAATTAAATGGATTTATGCATTCCTAAAGCTATAAAATCTGAAAAAGAAGCAATTAATGACCACCTAATAGAATTTTTATTAATATAAAATTACTAGATATTTTTCAAAAGAACAGCTGTTCTGGTTTTCTTCATAATCAGTTTGTAACCATGAGTATTGATGGGTTGGGCCATAATGAACCTATTAGTTTGTTTAACAGTAACAGCAATGAAATAAGATATCTATTTTGCAAATACAAATTGATACATCAAGCCATACACATACTTCTGACATTTTAGTTAGTGTTCTCTACAAATAAATACAAAAAATATGTTATCTCTACAAATAAATGGAAAAAACAATTTGGTTGTAAAGTTTACAGTGTACTGATAATGCAGCAAATGTGTCAAAAGACTTAATTAAAAACTCAAGATGATGTTTATATTATTACATATGAATTTTCAGCTCAATCTATTAGTTCAAATGAAAAATTGAATGTTCAATCTATTAGTCCAAAACTTTGCAATTGCAATTTAAAAAGCAGAAATCAAACAAATCAAGGAGCAGGTTGTTCAAGTTGTTAAATATTTTAGAAACAACTATTTTGCTACTGCTACATACCAAGCAAATGAGGGATTACAACTTGTAATGCTCTAACATGTCAGATGGAACACATTGGCATTGGATTTTTTTAATCATAACTAAAAAACTGGCTAATTCTATTAACAATTAATGAAGAAAACATAGTATCATATAAAGAAAAACATATATAAATATTATATAAAGAAAACATTATATAAAGAAAACATTATATAAAGAAAACATATAATTGACTAGTATATATAACAAATATTATAAATAATCTTTGTGTAAAGTACAGGAGAACTATTACAAATACTTAAACCAATTGCAATTATATTAAAGATGATGCAAAGGAACAGTTATTTTATTGGTGACAGTGTAGTGATATGGAAAAACCTTTAAAAAGAATTAAAACCTAAGCTTAGTCAAGATGCTAAAAAAAAGGTTAGCAAATGAGTTCAGCAGGCAATGACTCCAGCTCATTTCTTGAATAATATTATTGGTTTTTAATACAGAGGTAAATATATAACTGATAAAGAAATTACAAAGGTTGGAGTAATTTATGGAGGAGTGATTTAAAGAAATACAGAAGAGTAATTTTCTTCCAATTTTGATTAGTTTTGAAACAGAATTTGCACCAATAAAAGTTTATGTTCCATAACAATATTGTTCAAGCTATAATATCATGCAGAGTTGTTAGTCCTTAGCGTTGGCCTTGGTCTTGCATTGAGGCCAAAAATTAAGGCTTTGATCTTGGCCTTGAAATTTTGGCCTTGACCTTGAAAATTTTGGCCTTGACCTTGACCTTCTTTATTTTTATGTATTTTTGTTTTACGCTTTCATACATATCTA